TGGGGGTAAGTAACTTACCCAAGGTCACACAGCCAGTTTGAACACCTGAAGATGAGTCTTCCTCACTCCAGGTCCAGCACTCTATCCACAGTATGTTACACATAGAAAGCACTTAACAAAATGTTTGCTGAATTTGGTTCTAGGTATTATAGTGTAGACTGGTAGTTACAGTGTCAGGAAGACCTGAGTTCAAATCTCATTTCAGATACTTACTTGCTGTATGACTTTCAGTAAGTCACTTAACATAAGTATTCTGTTTCTCAGTTTCTTCATCTGTAAAGGGAAGGGGTTAGACTCAGTGGCCTCTAAAGTCCCTTCTAGGTCTAAAACTGTGATTCTATAATCCTAGATACAAAGGTAAATGACAGGCAATATTTACTCTCAAAGAGTTTAAATTATTTGGGATAACAGCACATTTGTGATAACATTGCTGCTTGTTCGTGACAATTAAAAACTGGAAACAAGCTACCTGCCCAACAATTACCATATAGACAAATATGAAACATTCAGACAAAGGTGGAAAACTTTAAATGAAGAAAGTAGAACAAGAGAACCAAACTCTCAATGCCTATTGCTAAGCCTTAGCAAGTCACTTAATCTACGAGCCTCAGTTTCTTCATCTGTCAACCGAAGATGAGAATGTTTGTTGTTTAACTGTTTCATTCATGTTTGACTCTCTATGACCCCATTTAGAGTTTTCTTGGCAAAGATATTGGAGTAGTTACCATTTCCTTCTCCAGCTCATTTTACAGATGAGGAAATGGAAGCAAACAGGGTTAAGTGACTTGCCCAGGGCCACACAGTCACTAAGTGTCTAAGGCTGGATTTTAACTCAGGTGTTCCTGAATCCAGACCCGGCATTCTATCCACGGCCACGTAGATGCCCCAAGGACAAGAATACCTGAAGTACTTACTGCATAGTATTCTTGTGAGGCTCCAGTTAAATAATGAATTTCAAGCACTTTAAGCAAATCTTAAAGTTCAATATGGATATCAAATATTATTATGGTGCCAGCCTTTATTTACAACTTCTAGGGGCATTGACAGGGATATCTTGAGGAGCCAAAGTTCCTACCTGCCAGCTAGCTGGGAGGGGAGGTTTTCCCAACATCCCCTAAATTCAGAGGTAGGGGGAAATTCTGCTCTTGCCCTTGAACTTGAATGATCTTCTAGAAGGGAAAGGCAAGAAATGTCATCTCTTCCAGCTGCATTGAATTTAAGGTGAAGGTCAAGATCCTTCCCCCCACCCCACTCCAAGAATTAGGGGAATGTTGTAAATCACATCCCTAACCACGAGCAAAGCTTCTATATCAGTGCCCCTATGGGCTAGGCCAAGAGGCAGGTTATATCCACAACCACATAAAAAAGTCACCATCTAGAGACAATAAATCTCTGGCCAGATACAGCAGCCTATGCCAGTATCACACCATCCCAGTTAAAGGGCATAACTTCTCCTTTCTGTTAACAATAGATAAACTGTTTGGGGGAAATGTACTTAGGAGTGGTGTTTGGGTATTTGTTGAGGGGTATCTGTTGTGTCAAAATGAAATGTATTAATAAAATTAACATGCAGCATGAAAAAAATAAAATGAAATATAGTAATAATTATAATAATTTTAAAAGGATGTGAGACTTCCTTTTATTTATTTAAGACAATGGGAAAAGTCATTCCATAAAATAGTGCACATTTTATTTTTCTTTGGTTCATGGGTTGCTATGGCCAAAACATTCAGCATCTGGAGTCCAATCTACTGGTAATGAAACACACCATACTGACAGCTAGGCTGGTCCTTGGCCAAAAGACCTAGTACATTATCAGGATGATAATCAAAGGCTTTCTTAGTAGTATGTAATCTATAATTATATTCTGCTGGCATAGTTTTCAAGAACTCCAAATCACCTCCATGCTATGATGAGGCATAAGGGTAAGGTTTTCTCCTCCACGTACCCATGAAGTTATCAAAAATATCTAATTGTGACAAAACTCAACAATGCTAAGAAGATGTGGGAGAAATAGCCATATTCATATATTGCTGGTAGGATAGCCAATTGATAGAATTTTTTGGAGGACACAACAAAAGCTACAAAAATAATCATTGCCTTTGACCCAATGATCCCATTTTTGAAATGTGCCCTAAAAGAGTTGTTTTTAAAGAGCTATTAAAATTATTTATGGCTATGTTATTTGTATTGCAAACAATAGGAAAAAATCTAAATGTACAACAGTTGAGGAATGGCTAAAGAAATTGTGGAATATCAATGTCATAGAATTATATTACATAAATTGAAATAATAAATATAAGTGATATAAAAATTATAAATGTCTTATAAATGTATCTTTAGTTGGTTTTATATTTAAGCCTATGTAAAAAATGTTAACAATTAAATAGATTTATATATTATTTATTATGTATTTATTATATATAATATATATTTATTATATTTTATATATTATATAATATATTATATAATATTATATTTATTATATTATATATTATTTATATATCAAATTTCTAAAATATATAGTTCTGTATTGTTGTTTTGTTTCAGTCATGTCTGACTCTCCATGACCCCATTTGGAGTTTTCCTGGCAAAGATACTGGAGAGGTTTGCCATTGCCTTCTCCAGCTCATTTCACAGATGAGAAATTGAGACAAACAGGGTAAAGTGACTTGCCCAGGGTCACACAGGTAGTAAGTGTCTGAGGTCACATTTGAACTCACGTCTCCCTGACTCCAGGCCCAGCGCTCTGTGCACTATTGCGCCACCTAGCTGCCCCCATATGGTTCTGCAGGATATATTGATTTGTGAAATAAAAGCACAAAGATCTTTCCAGATGCTTTAGATAAAGATATTACAAGAGTAGAATAGTAGTTAGGGCTTTGGACTTAGCATCCAGAAGATCTGAGTTCAAATCTAGCTTAGCAACTTACTTGCTATATGACCTTAGGCAAGCCTAGGAAAACTACTGAACCAAAGACACAGATTTAATTTCTGGTGTCCTTCCCGAGGGCAAGAGTTAGGGAAGGAAGGAGAGTTTAGCAGCTCAAATTAGGTATCTCGGTTAGCATATTTTGGGGAAAGGCTGAATTTACCAAGCCAACTTCTAGAAGAAAGAGACTCAGTTAAAACTGTGCCGATATATTTGTTTGTTTTAAATTTAACTTTTTTTCAATCAAGAAGCATTTATTTCCTATCTCCTCTACCTCCCCAACTGGAAAAAAGAAAAAGAAAATCTTTGTAACAAATATGCATAGTCAATATGCCAATTTATTTGTATGGTAAAGTTCTGGGATCTCACCTGATTTCTGGGGATTCATGCTGGGCTCATGCACTAATGAAAATTTATTATGTCCTGCAGTAATATTCAAAGCCACTGAGTAACTAAGAAATATTTAACGCACACAATACTTTCATACTTCAAGTTTAGGTGGTTTTGTTGGAGTGTGTACTCCTTCACTACCCCAGACCACAACCTGCAGCCACACTGCCTGATGAGCTGCTCTGAAGTGGTCTAGGCTGGTCCTTGGACAACAGACATGAATCACCAGGTTCATACTCAGTGCAGTTGGACAAGACCTTCCAGAGTTTGGCTCTGCTGAAAGAATCTTCTGAAACCAAGGGCTAACACCAGTCCATGATAAGGCATCAGAGAACTTCTGTGGCAGAGCACATGTGATCCCTTCTACAAAATGAGGTAAGATCTTAAAAATCCCACTCTAGCCTTATCACTGGTCCCTCTTCTGTCTCAGTAAGTCACATGGTTATACCTCTACTATCATGCCATTCACATGCATCAGTGTAGTTGCGGAAATTTCCAATGACTACCTGAAGTGAATTAACAGCTGAATACAAAATAAAGGACAAGGAAAAATCAGCCTGGGAACTGAAAACAATGTTTTGTAGTTTCTGCAAAATCATTATTCTTAAAAAACTAAATAGTTTAAAACTGAAAAAATAGATCATTATCAATCAATCAATGAACAAGTATTTATTAAGCACCTGTCAGGTACCACTTACTCTCTAGAGAAGACACTGACAGAAGTGAGACAGTCTCTGCCCGCAAGGAACTTGCATTCTAATAAGGAATACATGTACATATAGAAATAGATACAGAATATTTATAAGATAACTACCAAGTGTATGAAACATACAAGTTATATTTTGGCAGGGAGGTGGTAAGTGGATAGCGCACTGGACCTGGAGTCAGGAAAACCTGAATTCAAATCCTGCTGTAGACACTTACTAGCTGTGTGACCCTGGGCACATAACCAGTTTGCTTTTTAAGATGAAATTCTTCATCTCAAAAATGAGGAATAATAGCACCCACCTTCCAGGGTTATTGTGAGGATTAAATAAGATAATATTATTAAATTATTTTGTGAATCTCCAAGCATTATTATGAATGCACACTACAAGAAAGTAGTTATAAAAAGAGCTAGATATTATTTAATTGCTTTTAATTTTCTCCATAGAGCCCTTCAGCATCCAAGCACTATTGCACATTAAACCTCATCTGCATTTCTGTGGAACCAGTAGAAGGAAAGTTGACTCACTTGTCCACAATTCAGAATGTAATGGCACTCCTGTCTAAAGCAGCTCTTCTAAACATTAGCTGTGAAATAAACCTTGCTCCATTGTCCTAAAGGATGGGTCTCACCTCCATAGCAGATGTGCTCCTGAAAAATGTGTGAGTAAACTGAATTTTTACAAATGGGATTATTTTAAATATTCTAGTGGAATTTGCTGTTTAAAGGACTTTTTATAGTAAGTTCTCTTGTGTAGTTAATTTACCTGTTCCTTTAAAATTGGATTTTCATCTATTGAATTTGCCTAAAATGGAGCTTCTCCATTTCCCTTCTTGCTAGCAATGCCCATTAAGATCTATTAAACATCCTTTAGAAACAAATATTGCTCCCTTCAAACAAGCATTATTTCACCGCCTGTTGTACAATCATTTAACTTACTTGCACAATTCTCAGATTCACTAGTGGAGTTGTTCCTCTCTCTGTCCCCACCCTGACATGGAGCAATATAGTAACAAACCTGGGGGAAATGTAGGAGAGGAAATAATTTGTTTGATTAAAATGGAGGAAAATTGCTATGTTAAAAATAGAAGCTACAAATTTGGAAATTCCTTTCTATGGTGAAGCATGAACACCAAAAGCCTTCAAGGAATCATGTATGCCAGCTGTAGTCCAAACTCAAGCCTCTGTTTGTACGAGTCAGTGTCTGTAGTCAAAATTGTCTGTGTTTCTTCATTTCCCATTTCATCCTTTTCTTCTTTTCCCTCTCTGCACTTAGGCTTGTCCTTTCATGGCTTATTTTACTTGCCTTCTCTCCCTGCACATTCTTCCATACTGTCCCTGTGCCAAAAATAGATTTGACTGTTTTCAAACATTGCTCCCCCTGAAGCTCCTCTTTGTGAAGCCAGACAGTGATAACCCCCTACGGAAAGCAAGCAGAAGGGAGGAAAGAGAGAGACAGATAAGCACTTATGGCCTGGTATCAAGGTTCTCAATAATATTTGCTGAATGAATTAGAACTAAACCTCAAAGACTGCACTTTTTATCCATGGAATTTTCCTTCTTTCTCTTTAAGCTTCCTATCTTAGAGATTTATTTAAACAGAACCTTTCACCTTCTCTGTCTTCCATAAATCTACCCCTAATACTCAATGAACTTAAATACCCATTCAAAAATTCACTTCTTAAAATACGAGTTATATATCCACACATCCATAAATACATAGGCAAACTCTGTCCCTTTGAAAGTATCTCTGTAGTGACCCTCAGTTAAGTCATCTAGACAAAATTCATCTCACTTTTATTTTCTGAAAATTTCTTGACTTTTTTTCTGAAGTTCACAAGTCAATTTCTTTTGCACAGAAATTAAGTAATTCTACTACTTTTTCCCACTTTCAAGGCTCTCCAATGAGCACATTATGTGACTGACAAACCATTTTTTGCATAACTGACTTACATAAAATGAAAAATAAGGTGGAAATTCAATATACAGATATAATTGTTTCACCCAGTATCAACTAAAAAAAACAAAAATAAGAAGAACTCTGCTTGCAATTATATTGATAAAGATTGTTAATTCATTTGTCTCCTATAGGAACAGAGTTGATTAATTGTAAAAGGGAGTCTATTTTTATCCACTTTGGTTCTACCTTCCTCCTCAGTCTTCCCTCAAGTAATAGAAATTAGCATTTACATAGTGATTTATGGTTTTCAAAGTGCTTTATACATGTTATCACAATAACCCTGTGAGGTAGGTGCTATTATGATGATTATCCTCATTTTACAAATGACTCACTCAGCTATGTGCTTGAGGCAGGATTTGAATTCAGGACTTCTTGATTCCAAGTCTAGTGCTCTGGCTGCTCACTACATCACCTCCAAATGCTTTATTCTTCCTAATGTATAGGTACTTTACGTCCATCTTCATGATGATCATCAAACTCAGCAGTGCAGTAACTCATTTCAAGCTCCACTGAAAGGATTAATTATGTTGTTTCCCATTCCTTTCGACCTCTACCTTTCCCCACTGCATGAAATATAGACTCTGGACTATATAGAGTGTAAACTTCTTGAAGGCAGGGACTGTTTCATTCAAAGGCTTGACTATTTCATCTTTTGTCTTTGTAGCCTCATTATTTAGCATAATGTCTTACACATAGGGAATGCCTAATAAATGTTGATCAAATTATACTGCGTACAAGAGACTTATTAATCTAGGAGTTCATTTGGATTAGGTCAAATGCCTCAGGAAAAAATATATTTCTAAAAATCTAGTTGGAAACTAAAGTCATGGATGTGAAGAACTGTAGCATGTTTACTTCCAAAAGAACTGTCTTATTTGTCAGCACAAGAAAAATTAAGGACAATGCTGCAGATTGGCACCATTTATTATCTAAATGAGAGACTCTCAACAACATGGGGTTTTCTGTCGCAAACAAAATAGGAAACATCAAAATTAGTGCACTTACTGAAGACAAGGTAGAACTAGAATGCAACAGCATTGCTTCTGGCTTTCATTCTCAAAAGGTATGTCCAAAATATAATGAAGAACTTGAGATGCTGTGCAAGGCATTTCATGACATCTTGGAAAACTTGGCTAAAGTGCAGGTGAAAATGGAAAAGTTGACATCAACCACTAAAGAAATTTGTAACCTAGAAAATTACCATCATGGAAATGGAAGTTATCAAACATTCCTTTTCCATACATGGCCCACTACCTAGGAAGTTTCCCATAAGCTTTCAGAAATGTACAAGAAGGAAATACTCCTTAAACACATCATTGTTGAAGAGTTCACCCATGCTATGAACCAGGATCTCATTTTAAGCTACTCATCTATGTGGTTGTACCAGCCCTATATTGAGAACAGCAAGCTTCATGTGGAAAGCATGCTACATGAAACTGGACATGGAGCGTTATAATTTTTCCAAAACCATTTTTAAGTCCAAACTCCCAAAATCAGAATGAACCTCTCTTTCAGGTCTTATGACATAGGCCCATTGCTGCCTCACACATTGCCTTCCAGAGTCACAGCTCTACTTTTCTTGCTTGCAGAATGAGTTGCTTCAATTCCACCTTATGTATCTCTTAACACCACTCTGGCAGTAACTTTTGAAGTTGATGCTAGCCATCCATTCATTACCTGCTATTAAAACCATGACCCTCCTTATTTGACAAAAAATACTGGAAAACTGATCATACGTTTGGCAGAAAATGTTTAGATCACTATTTCCACAATTAGTTCCAAATGGATTCTCAGCCTACTGTTTAAAAAAAAAATAACAACTACACAATGGGGTGAGATCAGGAGAATGAAAGGAGTACCTTTCACAATTATAAGTAGGAGAATTCTAAACCAAAGGATAGAGGTGTAAAATTAAAATGCATGTGTACAAACAAAACCAAGAGAAACTAGATTGGGAAAAACAGTTTAATCAAATAACAGAACAAAATCTGCTATAGGAAATTGACACAAAAATATGAGACTAAGAACCATTTCTTAGCTAAGTGTTCAAAAGATATGTACAAATGAACTTCAGAATTAAGAAATGCAATTAACAAACAAAATATTACAGGAAATCACTAAAAGAAAGGAACATTTAACAATACTGGTTTCACCTCACATTAAATTGGCAAACACACACACAAAAAATTCAAACCAACAATACATACTGGTGGTAGAGCTATGCACTGGTCCAGCCATTACAACAATTTGGAATTTTTCGAGAAAAATCACTAAACTATTTGAACTCTTTGACCCAGCTGTCTGCCTACCACAAGGTATATAATAAAATGAGGTCAAAGTAGAACTGAGGTGAAGGAGCGCTCCGTGTTATTAATGGCACTTTTTGTGGAAGAAACAAGAAATTTGAGTTACTCAGAGAAACTAGGGAAGATTTGTATGAACTTATGCAGAGTGAAGAAAGCAGCATCAAAAGAAATGTTTCATAAATGATCCAACCATTCTGCATAACAATTTGGAACTATGCCCAAAGGGCTACAAAAATGTGCATACCCTTTGATCCAGCAATAGCACTTCTAGGCTATATCCCAAAGAGATCAAACAAATGGGAAAAGGACCCACATGTACAAATATATTCATAGCAGCTCTTTTTGTGGTGGCAAAGAACTGGAAATTGAGAGGATGCCCATCAATTGGGGAGTGGCTGAGCAAGTTGTGGTATATGAATGTAATGGAATACTATTGTGCTATAAGAAATGATGAACAGGCTGACTTCAGAAAAACCTGGGAAGACTTATATGGTCTGATGCTGAGTGAAGTGAGCAGAACCAAGAGGACTTTGTACACAATAACAGCCACGTTATGCAATGACTAAGAATGTTAAACTGAACCCTTCTCAGCATTACGAGGATCTAAGACATCTCCAGAGGCCTCGGGATGGAAAATGCTGTCCACATCCAAAGAAAGAACTATGGAAGTCGAATCGCTATCACTTATTTTTACCTTCTGTTGAGTTTTGTTTCATCTTTCTGATGGTTCCTCCTATTGGTTTTAATTTTTACTTACAACTTTACTAATGTGAAAATATGTTTAATGGGTATGTAAACGTAAAGCCTATGTCAGATTGTGCGCCTTCTTGGGGAGGGTGGGGGGAGGAAAAGGGAGAAAAATTTTCAACTCAAAAGCATATGGAAAAAAAATTAAAAAATAAAAATTAAATTTAAAAAAATTTTTAAAAAGAGAGAAATGTTTCATGGAAAGAAAAACAGTAAAAAAAATTTCAGGTTAAAGTAAATAATATTAATTAGAAGACTGATGAAACATGTTTTTTCTCTCATCAGGTTAAAAGGGTTTTTTGGGTGTGGAATAGTATGTCAACAGTGTGTCAGTTTCACTAGCTTAACTGTTTTTGTTACAAAGGACCCCCCTCATTTTACAGATGAGGAACCTGAGGCAGAGAAAAGCTAAGTGACTTGCCCAGGGTCACAACAGTAAGTGTCTGGTGTGAGATCCGAGCCTAGGTCTTGTCAACTCCAACTGTATTGTCTCTACACTCCACCATATTGTCTCTACAGACCACCATACTGTCTCAAAAAGTCCCTACTAGCTCTAGATTTATCATTGTGTGATCTATATTCTTGGAGATTCCCTTACAGCTCTGAAATTCCATGACTGTATGAATTTTGTTTTCCATTTATGAGAGAACAGTGATTTGGAGATAACAAAGCTAGAAGGCACCTTAGAGACTGTCTTTCACAGATTAAGAAAACTAAGGTCAAGAGTGATTGTATGTGTCTTGCTTAATTAAGGTCACATGATTACTGGGTTGGAAACTTGAAACTGGAACTCAAGTCCCATGACTCCTAGCCTAACACTATGCCCTTATGCTGCCTATTTACATGGTGATTTTAGTATTCAGAATCTAAAACTCATTACAAACTAGAAGCTTTCACATTTCTTCTTTCCATCAGCCTTTCTGCAGCCACTTGGAATGGAAATCTGCATGTCTGAATTTATCTCATATACTTAAATTCTGTTTTGTTTTATATTATATTGTATTA